GCTTTAAACGGGCCTACATAGCTGTTTTTCGTAGGTGCGACTTTGCTGTGATTCGCATCGATTGTCTCCTGACTGTATCCCAGACACCATGAAAATCTGGCTATTGTGGCCCCGGCCGCGCGTCGTCTTCACTGTTTTATTCCTTACAAATCTAATCAGCAATTCTGTGCTCACGAAAAACGTTGACACAAACATTCATACTAAGAAGATCAGCTACGAACTATCGTCATGACGTCATATTACCTTAGACAGCTACTCCAGAACTCGCTATCCTGTTCGTTCCTTCCTTCGCATCTCTTCCATGGGAATAGCTTTTCGAAATTATATTTGGCACCTCAGACTCTGTCACAATTACTGATCCTGCGTGAATATTTTTACCGTCTGTGCTGCTAGCTGAGATTGGGTCTCAGCTATTAGGAATGCGATCGATGGAAGTTGATTCCATTGCCATAAAGTTGGATACTCATTTCATGCTCTCGCTACACTATGACCCCTATTCCTTTTTATTCGAGTGACATATCACCGCTTTAGGCTACTTTAAGCAATGATAACCATCGGGTTATGATTCTTATCTGACTGTCTTTCTTAAACATATTTCGTACGAGAACTTCGGATCGTGGACGAAGAGTAGACAAATTAAACTATGAATTATTCTCGTGTGCCTAAGTACACAAATGTCTTGAAACTTGTCTCCGATCAATGAACAATGAATTTATACAGGTTAAGAAGCGTTGCTTTACAAGTCCCGTTGGATAGTAGCAGGGGATATCAACATAACAATAATGATGATAAGGATAGTAAAATAGTTAATACTTAAATATGAAAATAGGGACTTATCGTTTGCTTCGCTGCAGTCCTGCGATCCTCAGATTCACAGCATCCACAGTTAACAACAAATAATTCCATGGTATACTCCAGGTGTAGGATGGAGACGTAGTGTTAAGTAACAAAGTGTAAGTGGATGGGTGCATCGTCCAACCGTCTTTTAAATACTGTTAGCGTCGGTGCAGAGACGACCGATTCTGGGAGAGCATTCCACGAATGGAAAAGAAATTTTTGCGGCACTCCAAACGACTGTATTGTTCTGCGAGTTTTAATGAGTGGCCCATCAGGTTTGTATTGCTGCTGAGTTGCAGTAAAGGGCGGCACACATGATGTGGGTCTCGCAGAATCAAGTATGCCATAATCAGGTCGCCTCGTAGTCCGCGATAGCTTCCACTGAACAATCCCAGTCGTTGCAGCCTCTCCTGGTAGAAAAGATTGCACGTTTCAATTACGTTCTTAGATGCCCGACGTTGAGGCTGCTCCAGTGCATTAAGGTCGTGTTTCAGCCATGGATGCCAGGCTTGAATTGCATATTCGACATGGAGGCGAACATATGCACTGAGCATTTGTCGACATATGGAGCTGTTTATTTGTCCAAACGCCCGCCTCAACAGCCCGACGTGTTGGTTCCCGGTCTTCGAAGCCTTTTCGGATTGCCTGGAGCAACCCAAGTCATCTTGAAGCAGGACACCCAAGTCACGTTCGAGAGTTGATTGTTGCAGTACATCCGTTCCGAGTCGGTATGAGTAGCTGCTTTGAAATCGGATAGAAAGCATCTTGCATTTACTGACGTTGAAATGCAATAAGTTTTGGGTCGACCATTGATACACCGTATCTAAATCACTCTGAAGCACATGTTTGTCGATGTTCGCCTGGATCCTGCGCCAGATCTTGATATCGTCGGCAAACATTAGGAAGTTTGAAGCGATTGCCTGTGCAAGGTCATTAATAAACACCAAAAACAAACGTGGACCTAGAACCGAGCCTTGCGGCACACCACACTTGACTTGTATGGGGTCCGATAAAGAGCTCCGAACTCTAACCACTAATTGCCTTTGAAATAGAAAGTTGGCGATCCAGCTTAAAAGAGGGTCGCCGATCCCGTAATGCTGCAGCTTGGATAGTAGTATCCGATGGTCTAGACGATCGAAAGCCTTGGAAAAATCCAGGTAGATCACATCAACACCTTCTCCAGCGTCAGCTGCCTCGGTCCAACTACTGCGTGCAATTAGTAAATTAGTTGTACATGACCGCTGTCGACGGAAACCGTGCTGTTCAGGAGTGATGAGGTTGCAGTTTTCCAGATAGCACACCAGTGCATCGGCAACTATGGATTCCATGACCTTGGAGAGTATAGGAAGAAGGGTTTCTGGGCAGTGGTTGGAGGGATCGGTTTTGCTTCCACCTTTGTGAATCGGGCTTATTATTCCAAGCTTCCACATGGCGGGAACTTGGTTCTGGTCTAAGCAGTGCTGGAAAAACTGAGCTAAAGGTCCTGCCAGTTGGTTTGCTGCTGCTCCCAATGCCTCTGGACGAATGGTGTCGACATCTCTTAGATGCACATCTTTTCTCAGCAGACAGTTCCAAAGGGCACATCGATCAACCGAATCGAAAACACCTTTGATTTCGAGAAACACGACATCGTTGGTTCGCCAATAAATATGGTGATGCTCCATGCCTGCTGATACAAACTTCTGGTGAATATGTGACCAGTGGTTTTATATCTTGGAATAAACTTGGTACCGACTGGGATATTATAATTTCAAAAGTTGCAGATTAAAATCGGTTTTATATAGGCTTGTATTGTGACTACGTTTCGCCCTTGACCTGAAGAAGCTCTTGTGTCAAGGGCACAACGTGTTCACAATACAAGCCTATAAAAATCCGGTTTGTATTCTAAAAATTGGGAAATTATGCTACCAGTGGTCTTCAACGGTGTTCTGTGGGCGCTTACTCAGCGTGCATGCCAGTGTACTTTGGTACGCATTCAGAACACTTGGCTTCGTCAGTCGGCTGGTGTCTATGCGTGCACAGGGACACTGCGGACGTCCGCCGAAACGCACTCGAAGGCCGGCACACACAAGAGCCTAATCGGAGTCTACGCTCGTGCTTCAAATCGAGTGACAGTTCTGGACACAGCCTCTTCAGCGGTAACTAATCGCGATGTGATCGATTTGTCTCCTTGGCTGGTGGGCGCCGAGTCACTCTCCTGCGGGTGCTGTGTCGAAACTTAGTGCTCGCGAGAAAAAGATGAGCATCTTCACACAGGTGTATCAACCGTTAACGATTATCATTACGGGAGCCTACACCATGTTGGCCGCCCAAATGAAGCTCATCAGAGGACAATTTTCCGACGGACATTCAGATCACCTGCAAGCACCACGGCATCATGGTGCCTTCATCCCGAGGACTCAAAACAACGCCCACATCGGCTTGACCGGCATTTGAGGCGGCGTTGTCTGCAGACAGACGCAGTGAAAATGTGCCGCCATTGTCCCATGTGGGGCATCGCAGGGTAAGCACGGAGCTCGGATTTTGCAGTCGGGTTTCTGATAAGCAGCAAATATCCATCGATCGGGTATCCAGTGTTCGGGCAAGTGCTGCCTGTTGGCCAGTCTGTTTACTATACGGGCGTCATGTACGGTTGTGAAACCTGGCCCATCAGGTCGACAGACAGAGGCTCGCTACGTTCAATCACCGTGGCCTTCGCAGCTTATGTCTGGTGGGAGCACTGCGTGTTCGGCTTCGCCTATTTGATGCAGGAAGAGCGAGTGAACCGTTCAGCACCATAATATCATGCAATAGGCTCCGATGGCTGCGCCACCTGTTGTGCATGCCAGCACAACGAATCCCACAACGTGCATTGTTTGCGCGTCGGGGGTGTGGATGGACGAAAAGGAGCGGAGGCCAAGCGATCACTTGGTCGAGAGGAATGAAATCCTTCACTTCGAAGTTGGCGTCGGTTGGTGCATCCCGACTGCCGGGTTGGGGTCCGAAATGCGATGGTCGCATTTGGTTGAACAAACTCGCTGACGTGGCAAAGAGCTGACCTCACTGGCGTCTGTGCTGTGAGTTTCTTGGTCCATTCCCCTCTCTTTTAGATTCTCCCTCTAATTACGATCTCACTGCAAGTTAATACTATGATATTTAACCTTATATTACTTAATTTCTTGGATTTTTTGTTATGATATTTTTAGTATCATCTTTTCGTATTGCGGCACATTAGCGGAGGCGTGTTTCTCACCCTCAGCTAACGCGCACTAATGATGATGCTGTCGTATAGAAGAAATAAACCTGCGCCCAGCGCGTTACTTTCGACATTACGCGTTTGCCGCTACTCCGAGTCGTCCTGTATGATGTCAGCAACCTTGTATGCCAGACCACATCGCTCTTGTCGGTTGTTTTGTACGACGGGTGAAGATCTGCCAATACTTGTCGATGCACGCTTGCAAAAGTCCAGCAGTCTTACTGCTCTACGTTTGACACTTGATCTTATGGGTTCATAGCACTCATGTTCTGCCACGTACATGAGGTCTAGCTCTATCCTACTTACCTCCGCAATGTGCAAACGCTAGCTTAACTTTTGCTTAGATTAGGTATGGAAACTGCTCCACCATATCTCGATTTATCATTCCAGCTTTCTTCTCTTTATCCTCATTCTGTTCGACTCAGCAGTGCGCTTTCGAAATGTGAGGCACAGACATCGGCAGATATTTCACGCCAATGTTACGCCGTTCTAGATCCCAGTTTGCGTAGCCACTGAGCTGTGCATCGAACTCTATCCTTTACCAATTCTTTTCTGTGAAATCTCTGTGCTACTTTAGTTTGTTCACTTTTAAATCCTTTTGTGTAAAACTTAGGTACCTGTGTTTCATTGTCATTTTATACCATTGTATAGCAAACGTTGAATTTGTCAAGGGCGCCACTGTTTAACCGTGTTCTGCACCATCGTTGATCTCACTTCATGGTTGCCTGCTGCGCTTTATTTTTGTGAATTAGCTTTACCGGTTTGCTCGAATCAGAATCTCCCATGCTTTTGATGGTTAATGCATTTTTTAGATTCCTGTAGGTAACTTCCATTCAACATTGTCTCGCTTGTCTCTTCAGTTTGTGTGATATGACCTTCACTCTTGACACCATCGTTTGTGGTCTTAGGTCTATCACTCCATGCATCTATGTTAAATTCTGCTCCATTATTCTGTTTTTCAATTCTGTCCCTTCTTCAACCTAATCCCCAATCTCCGCAGCATTCAGTGCATTACGTGACGGCCGATTGTCCCCTCGGAACACGTCTCAATCAAGATGATCAAATACCAGTTCTTTCATCGGGTACGTCTGTGTCCCCCTGCAGCGGAATCAACGATTGATGTGTCATCCAATGCGGGTTTGCGATGCCTCGTTTTCCATGCAACCTCTTTTTGAAGCTACGTTTGCATAGCTGATTATTACTCGAGCAAAATTTAGCAACGTAAACATTAACTATTTCAAGTGTTTTATTGTTGAATTAAACCAAAATTTTGCTACTGTGGTCCTGCGGCTTTCCTATGTGACATCAGCTGGTTCTGCTTGCTGGCATGAACAAACTGGAACTGTGTTCATTGTCCGAGTATTAAAATTTCGCGAGCCGCTTTACTGTGATGGTGTCACCATTGCTCTAGGCTACAACGCGGCTTAAATATAATCTAATGTTCAACAAGCGGTCTGATAATGTCACGAAAAATGCAACCACCTTCCGCTAGATTCACTCTACTTACTCCACTAACTCTACCATGGCGTTACGTTGCCAGGTGGACCACTCAATCTTAATCAAACACCCCTTTTTATTTATTGTTTCCATGGAGGATTGCGGTTGTTTTACGCTCTTGTCCTTCCTACAAATCCCTCATCCATTCAGTCGTCGCAATGGTTGCACCTTGGCCAACCTCTCATTCGATCGAATCTCAGTTAAGACTTTCCTTGTCGTTGCATTTGTTTCGTTCAGTGTTTCCGTGAATTATGATTACTTTTTTCGTTCTTGACCAATCAGTAGTCAGGGAGAGGCAAGTTCACCTTCATTCGGTCGTAGTGTCACCCACTCGTACGTACCATCCTACAGGCTCTTGTTTTCTGCATTGAAGCTTATGACAAAGTATCTTCCCCAATATTTGATCACTCCAAGCCATGTTACAAGTGCACTGATCCGATTGCTTATTCATCATGGGCATTTACTCGTTATCAACTCACGTTTCCTAAGCTGCTTTTGTCTGCATTACGTGCGCCTAACTTGGCACACTTATTTAGGTTTTGATTATGCGCGATCATCCTTCATCTGGTTTCGGTAAATTTAAAGTTCTTCTTTGCTGTCGCACAGAGCACGATACTGTATAATATGCCCATGCATTGTCCCTCAACTAACCGTATGATTGCCGGTCCACTCGATTTGAAATCTGTGTGCCTTCTTTCACCATTCGCCGTTTTTAATACCGCCGTCATTGTGAACTTTCACTAATGGGAATCGTGGAGGCGTTTCTTCTCGTATAAGAAACTTTACGTTTGTTACACATCCAATTGTCGGGGGAATTCGTACCCTAACCAAATCACTTGGATCTACTGGCACCTATCTTCAAGTCCCACCGCCTCTGTAGATTCGGGGAAGTGATCACTGACTATTATGCATCTTGGCTCGGATTCCACATACTTTTATACACACACTCGTTTACGTGTCCAAGCTAAATCTTACTCCCGTTGTATTCCTACATTGCCTCACAGGCACAACGGAACATGATCTCATTCCGTCAGCAATCTTGGATGCTGTGTTGACCTCTTTTCTTTCAAAGCTGGATCCACTGAATGCAACAGGAGATCAAGCCCAACAGTTGCAGCAGCAGTAGTGGAGAGAATGATTCAGAATAAATTGAGAGTCACTGAATGTCCTTGTCACTTGCGCCTCTTCTGTTCATGCACCGTTAAGATACACTATATACGTATATTGGATATATTGTATCAAATAATGGAGAAGTTAAGTAAAAATTTCAAAAAAATATTGCGCTCGCATTTAATCTTCTTTCTTCTTCCCCGGTTTTTCATCAAACAAAGGTGGCCAAAATCGCCGACACAATCACTCCTGCTACCAGCCCTAGGGAGACGTAGATTGACAGGGCCATCCCGCCTGTCTCAATGCGGCCTGGCGACGCATAACTGTTAAAAAGAGAGGAACAATTGTAAGGTGCGTTATGCAATATAGACAACGTTGGCCCTTGTAATCACCGACATTTAAATAACCTGTGTAGACACTTAATGTCTCGGTTTATTACACTTGTTCATGGTGACGGCATTTCGATGCCTCTTTTAAGTCTAGTTCCAGATATCGATTTACAAATTATATATGCCTTGGACACTACCCACAGTTTGTTTGCACTGGACTACAGTTCATAGTGAATCTGCTTGCAGTTTTCATAAAACACCTTTTTCAATGCGTACCCCACGTTGTATATAATAATGGTACCCACAACCGTTGAAGCTCTTAGTATCGCATCGCTCTCTGGAACCCGCAGCTTCGCAAATTCAGTGCATTAAATTGTTTGCCTTCAAAGGTCTTGGAATTATGAGTTCGCGATAAGTACCAACCTTTTTTAATCTACTTTGAAGTGGGGAAACGGCAGGTTTACTCAGCACCTGACTTTTCTTAGCTTTTCAGGGGGTCTTTGGTGCTTTTAGGTCAGTTGCACTGTTTACAAAGTGTTCCACTTCTCAAACCAACCGCCTTTCACCGGGATGGTCGCGTAGTAAGCATGCTCCACTCTGCCACAACTTCACGGCTCTATCCAGCGAAGTCATCATACACACATTCGAATCGGATTAACTTCACATATTCAGTCCGCACATTTTTACCGAATTATTTCCCACGGATAAGGATCTATGTAGCCCAAGTGCTTTTAACACGCTTCGTGCTCGTCTTCAGACGCGCCATCCTGTTGTTTTTACAAGCCGCACTACTGCGATCGATAAAGGGTTCTCCGTGCCATCCGTTGGTCCTAAAATTACTACTACAGGTTCAGTTCTAAAGAAGCTAAGATTTATTTTGTGCTTTCACTTGCATTCCCCATCGTCGACACCTAGTCACTGACATCCACCCACTGCAAGCCAAGCTGAATGGCCGAACCCAACAAGAATCATTGTCAATCAGTAAGGCAGCCGAACCGCGTGTATGCGTCCCTCCCGTGACACACACCTACGATAACCGACGCCGGTCATGCGACTGGGACAAAGAACGTGAGGATCGCTCGCCCACTAACTCGCGTGACGAGACAAGTGCAGTAACGGCTGTCACTGAACATGATACTGCTTATCCGCAAATGTGGTGAACCGAAATATGCGCGAGGAGTCGGTAATGGCATAACTTTTTCAAATTGTGCCCTTTCCTTCCACTCCAGGTGTGGGGGTGTAAGTCAACTAGGATCTAAGCGACAAATCAATCCGACTGTTGCGCTCTGGTTCCGCCAAACTTGCGAAGCAGTTACAATGGTCAATTATATATTGGTGCTCATGGAAGTGTGAAAAACTGACAAACTGTTCAGTAGATGGTGAGTTTCAAGTCTTTGCTAGTGGCATCTAACGAGACTGATCTTGTTCTACAACAATTACTGAGCTTTGTCCCTAAGTTGAAGACTAAAGTCATGCTTGCTAAGCGCCCAACGGCATCTGCGTCAAATATTCCCTGTTTATACTATCTTGTCGTCAGCTTTATCCAACATCACTTCACTACAGTAGCAGTGTTTAAGAAGCTGTTAACCCTGCATATTCACAGTTCTCCTGGTATCGATAACATTCAATCGAAGGCTTTACTGGCCGCAGCAACTGATCTGGCGGAGCCTCTGGCTATGTTCTATCAGCGCTGTCTAGAGGCGAACCGAATTCCAGCAGCATGGAAGCGGGGTCATCACTCCTATTCATGAGAGAGGTAGCCGCACTGACCCAAACAAGTACCGTCCGATAACGCCTCTTCCTGTACTTGCTAGAGTTATGGCATCTATCATCGCTGATGTATTTATGCAGTACCTGGAAAACCACAGCATAATAGCCCCGTTGCAACATGACTTCCGACAAAAACGCCCATGGACTACGAACCTGTTAACTGCACGCAATAACTGAACTGAAGCAGTTGAGGGTGGAGCAACAGTCGATATCACGTATCTGGACTTCTCAAAAGGGTTTGATCGTTTAGACCACCGAATTCTCTTCTATAAACTTCTGATCTATGGCATTGGTGATCCTCTGCTGAGTTGGATAGGGGATTTCTTGCACGAACCTTGGTTGGGGCTGAGAGTAGGAGAATCCCTGTCCGACGCAATCGAGCTGGAGCGCGGTGTACCACCAGGACCCGTGCTAGGGCCCCGTTCAATCTTGATTTTCATAAACGACCTGGCGAGGGAATTTACTTCCGATTTCCTATTTTTCGCAAATAATATCAAGGCATGGCGAGCGATCAGCGAACCGGACTACCACTAAGAGCTCCGGCGTGACCTCAAAGCGATTTCGAACTGATCAGTTCAGAATACACTATTGTTCAATGTGGAAAAATATCACGCTGTTAAATCGCGCCATAGACATGACTACGTGTATAGGTTTGGGTCAAAGGTATTGCAAACAACTTCCCAGAAACACGACCTCGGTGTTCTCATTCAAGGGGAACTTAACTCTTCAAACAGTCTAAGGCAGCCGTGATAAGAGGCGACCAGCACCTCGACTTGTTGTGCAGGGCGTTCGGGAGTTTTGACTGGATCCATCTTCCCGATGATGCTCCCTCACGCTGAATACGCCATCCAAAGTTGGCAATCTTAATTGAAGCGCGATCTGAAGGTGCTAGGGACACCACAACGCTGGGCTACAAGGAACTCCAAGAGTCTACGAAATTTGTCTTACCAGTAAAGGCTGAAGTCACTGGAAGTTTTCAGTGTACGCTACTGAGGGCTGCGCGGCGATCTCATATTAGTGTACCGAATATTGAGTGACCCTAATCACGTATGCCGTCACTTGCTGAAACTCTGCCATAGCACCAATCTTAGAAGTAACTGTTTCTTGTTGGGTGAACAGTATAGCCGTCTAAATTACCGGTGGAATTATTTTTCTCTTCGAGTTTACCTACCCTGAAACTCTTCCAAACTCTTGTTTTCTTTATCGCCTTGGATATTTTCACAAAAATGATTGAATGTTACTCTAAGCCCCCATCACCTCGTTGCCTATGCTGTGCTACTTTAGAGTCTATTAATCATGCCTTCAAGGAGGATTTGTATGTCACATAAACCTAAGGAGGCTGTGCGTGAGTGAGTATTCTTGCTTTACATTTTACTCACGGAGTACATCAGCTATAACTGGCCCCATGCGGTCTTGTTGTCTGTATTTAATTCTCATTTTACACTACTGTTATTCAGCGGCCCAACTACTCGGTACACGCTCAAGCAGCCAACGCACATACCTTTTGACATTGTAGTTTTACCCTTACCATCCTGCGGGACTTGTCAAGCAACTGCTTTTTTACCCGTGATAAATCAGTGGTCATTGAAACTGCGATCGGCTCTCCAATCTACGTCCGCCACTTAAGAGGCCGCACGAATGCAAATACACTGGTTTCGGAAACCAGTTATATCACAATGTGGCAGCTTTGTTTAATCTTACCAATGCGAACGGAAAAATGTACATTGCAGTGACCATTGTTGTTCGTTAGCGATCTTCGTATGTGAGTAATACCGTTGTGACTAGTCCTCCCGTTGCAACGAAAGTAGCTCCCTGCATATCATCAGTTTACCAATCCGATTTCCTCTGACTAGTCAAACATCTGTTGCTCCCAGTTGTTGTCATGCCATGCAATGCAGATGTGCAGCAAAAGGCGCACTCACCTAGTCACATAACGTGTATATTGTCTTGTCATTGTACCTATATTTGACTCTTGTTTTAATAAAATTCGAACCATGTGGAGAACGGTCGGATAGCTTCACTTGCCTACGTAGATACCAAGTTGTATGGAAGGCCTCTGCGCTCCCACCTATTCGCTGTCGTTGCAACTTCCTACATGAGGTTAACATATATGCAACCACTCGGGTCTCATTCTTAATGGTCTTACTGCTCCCGCAAATACTGTCTTGAAAATGACCCATCACTGGAACTTTAGCGCACGTGACAATCGTGTGCTTGGGATCTTCACCGGATGTCAGCTAAATTGCGAACGCACTAGTGGTTGAGCGCACCGGGCTCCACTTCTGTGTTTAAACCCCCCTATATCTCGGAATGGAGCCAGGTGGATGCTGATGTCAGAAATCGGTTATGTATAAGCCAGAACCAACGAAGGATTCCGTTTATTATTTACTTCCTTTCTGGTGAAACTGCTAATGAGCATGACAGGGATGCTAATTTGGGCTGCTTTATCTCAAATAACCGGTCATTTGCGACTTTGACATCAGTGCATGTTTGGACACTATACACATTGACCACAATACTTCTTATGCACGCTTACTCCGTCCACTTTACTGCTTGACGAGGGAGCCGTTAAGCAGCGTTGCCGCACAATTGTGTGGCGATATACCAAAACTGTACTCGGTTAGCTAGTGCCTCTGACTTACGATCCGGGCCCGTTTCATTTGATGCTCGATGGCCATGTTCCGTTAAACTATGAACTAGCAACGAAAGTCTCATTTTAAACACAGTGTAAAGCAAACGTGCAACTAAGTCGCATACAACAGAAAAGAAATTAAGATGCTTCAAATACGCCGTTGCGGTGGTCTATGTCTGGGGTAAGGCCCCAACGAGTTACCGAGACACAATCTAGTTAAAGCGGGTATGACAAAACAAAACCACGCTTTTACCGTTTTAGCCCCACTCAGCTGTCGTTTGATCTTTCAGCTACAGAACTTCTCTCAGAACTAACACAGACATAACTGCAATGTTCGGAATAATTTGCTTGACTCACCTTGGTCCGTACATAAGAGCCAGTGTTATGAAATAACCGGTTGTCAATCCGAGCACAATGATGTAGATGATGGGGATGGCATCATGCGAAAACGGACTTGGCACACGTACTTTGTTTTGTAGGTTCATAAACAAAGCCAGCGGTATGAGGACGATGCGCAGTACACAGCAGATGAGCAAAATCCACTTCTGGTGCTCTCGTGGCTGGTAGACAAAGAGAAAAAGATGCACATTACAGTACCCTCGCCTTCATTTTTGAGAATATGGTTTGTCTGATGTTTCACCATGTGTTCCTTTAGTTCCACTGGATTAGCATATATCTGACAAGGAAACAACGATTGCCACAATCGCCCAGCTTCTTATTCTGCCATTTAGTGTCCCGGACCGCTGGTACCTGCCTACAGTTTGAAATACTCATACTTGTGCTCTCAGATCAGCTTGGTCGCTTGGATTGCACCACACGATTGGTAATCTTCGTGCCGGTGTGTTGGTTCCTTGTGATCTGCTTCGCACCATAATCGAATTAGACGTGCATCCTAGCGGTTGCTCGCTCTCCAGACATTCGCCACTGCCAGCGAACCCTTGTTGTATATACTTACCGTGATGATTCGGTGTGTTAACGTGAGGACGGAATACGGTTTTATTTATTCTGTTCAAGACTGCTCTAACCATAGACTTTTCCAGCTTTTATCGTTTGCCTACTATTCCCATGGAGACCGCGATTAGTGGAATGAGGCCACGAGGTGGCGTATCGATAACACCGGAAATGACATGATGTGGCTGCTCTAAAGACCAAATCGAGTTGGAACTCTGTCACGAACAAATTTCCGCACACTGTGTTTAAGTTGACGCAATCAGGGAGCGACGCACTCCCTGCGTTTGATCCATGCTACACTGGTAAATTCACGGTTGGGTAATAACTGTGTCTCTTTCAGTATGCCATTTATTTGTATTACATCCCTTGTTCGGATAGTATCTTTATCCTTTCTTACGCCCACAAGCTCTCTCTGGTCGCAGGCGTTAGTTTTGTTTTAGCTTTGCATGGATCCCTGTATACGCGTACGTGATCTGTGTTCTCTCTACGGAAATAGTTGCTAACCAGGTTCCGACTGACGTCCAAAGGGCTCCGGGTTCGAATGCTCGCTATATCTACCTGCTGGGATCAAAGAAATCCGAAACCGGTCACAGAGTTCAGTGTTTTCTGGTGGGCGGGTGACACTCCATATCCAACTAGTTAATATGAGCTTACTTTGTTGCCTTCATCTTCCCAGATTTTCATCAGTTTTATTTTGTACTCATGTTCAACGCGCGTGTGTGTTCATTCGCCTATTCAGGCTGCTCTAGGCAGCTTCACATAGCAATTAATGTCTTTACTAGCTGTGAGAAGTCAGCTCAACAAACAAACTGGTTGCTGCATTTTATCATGTGACTGAGTCCAGTACATTTGTATATTTACTGCAAGTAGGAGCAGGACGGACGTTTGCGTTTCTAGAGGGGGTTGAGGGGATATTGGTGGGATGACATACTCATGTGGGAAGTCATACAACACGTTTCCGAGGTAACATATTTTATCAGGTAGTTTACGATTACCGTAGCAAATATATTGCTAAGCCCACAGTGAACTGAGCTGTTGGGCACAAGTTCGGTGTATCTATGATCATCTTATCGTCATTTGATGAGCGGGGGTCATATATCACCTTATAGCAGGCGGAATAATTTCCTATGACCTTTTTGAAAGCCCAGGCTTAATATGTCCCGTAGGCTGGTAAACGAAGGAGTTGCGAATTCGTAGACCAGGCATGCGGACAAAACGAAACGCGCATCGGTGAAACTATGGGGCGATGGTACATTAGAAGTAAAGTGGTGATGAAGTATCACATGCAAAAATACGGAATTTTACATTTATGGTTAGCGCTCATCATAAAAACAAGCGAGTTGTTCACTCGTCTACATTGATTCACATGCGTCAGTGTGCATTATAATTCCAACTACTCAGTAGGCTGGAATACAATCCTTAATATCCATCCATGTAATAAAGTGTAGGCAACTAAGTGCGACATCCGAACGTATCTTGAAAGTGCTTGAGGCACGAAAAATTGAGTTTGGAACAGCGTTCCAAGTTTGTTAAATACGGGCCATTTAGACGACTCTGTTCCTGACTAAATTAAAGCTATGGCCTTTAAGGTTGCTGCTTAGGCTGAGCTTCAAAATGTGACAGAGCATGATTGGGACCACTCAGTAGTTCATACACCATTATGAGGTCTCCACTTAGCCATCTGTAGCGTCCACGAACACCCCGTTTCTTCAACTGTTCATGGCAGGGAAGGTGACGCAATCCCTTGATATTCTTCATCGTTCGACATTGTGGGGTCTTCAGCACTGCAAGGTTACGCACTGGCTAAAGTTGTCAGGCCTGGATTACGTATTCGACGGGGGAAACGTAGGCATTGAGTAACTGAAAAGATTTACGAATCCAAAATACTGTGTATACTCAGTACCTGACCAACATGATGGTTGCCTCCTTTGGTAGAGGACTAAGACAGTCCGGAACAACCCAGGTCGCTCTGTACGATACACGGATGACAGGTTCCTGATAGGTGGTCAGCAGATTGTACGCTCCAAGCCTGCAGAAGTGTGTGTTCTTGACGGATGTGAAGAACTCGGCACTTGTTCTCATTGAATGATAGCGCACTCTCCATCGAAGAAATTCCAGGTCGTATCGCGGTGGCGCTGGAGGGTCTCGGGATAGTCCAACAGCTTGATAGCCCACCAAATCTTGGAATATAACTCGTTAAATGGTTGATGTAGAATAGGAACCGGCGCGGCCGAAGTAACGAACCCTGCGGTACACCGCACCTCACTCGAATTGGTTTTGACAACGATGATTGCGCTCTAACATCCGGTTGTCGTTTGTGTAGAAATTTACGGATCTATCCCAATAGGGGGTTCACTATACCATGTTTCCGAAAATTGTGAAGCGGAATACGGTGATTCACGCGATCGAATGCTTTTGAAATTCCTAGGTTGATGACATCAGTTGCTGTCCCTTCTTCATTTGCTTCAAGGCAGTTGTCGCGTGCAGATTCGTGGCACATGATCGAAGTTGACGAAAAACATGCTGCTTGGGTGCAAAGACACCGTGACTTTCCAGATAGCTCATCAATGCGTCTGCGATAATCACGTGATCTTGGGCAGCACAGGGTGAAGCGTTACCGTGCGGTAAATAGCAAGCTCACATCGACTTCCTCCCCTGTGAATAAGATTCATAATGCCCCGTTTGCTCTATGACAGAACCATATTATCGTCTAGACGGTACTAAAAGTATCCAGATGGTTCGACATAGTGTATGGCTGTTAATTACGGTGCTTTAGGACGAATATTATCCGCTTCAGGAGAGTTGTGTGTGTGCGTGTGTGTGTGCAGAAACAGCAGCTTATTAAACACAGTTTTTGCAGTGAATGTGACAATTAATAGACCTGACGGTTGAATAATAGTGACAGGGAGCGCACATTATGCTCCTGAAGCGTTCACCAGACAATGTTCGAGCTTGCCACGACGCACAATCATAGTAGCAGCGATACACTTCAATTGTGTTTCCGACGTTCGATGCGTATCGATCAGCTGTTATTGATTAGCATATTTCGGCAGTCTCTGCATCCCACGAATGAGTTAACATGTGGTATCAATTTGTCCATAATGAATTAATCCAATCACAAGAGACTCTATCAGTACATCGAGTAGGATTGAAATAAGCTTAACTCATAGTGGAGGAAATTTTGGAAAGCACAACCTAACGGAGACTATGTAAGCGTGTCTGGATAGTATCACGTTCTTGCAGAAATTCGAGAGCGAATTTAGCTACAAGGGAAATAATCCTCATCATAACACACGATAACTGAGTGTGTGAAACATATCTTAGCTGATGGGCAGCAACACAAAAGAGATAAGCTAGTAACCATTATAAAATACAAAACAAAAACCAGGCGAAAAGATGCTGAGTATCATAGTACGCATTAGACAAGAGACCGTCGTTGGAGGGGAAACTAAAGGGGAGAACGGGGAACAAAAAACACAAGACAAAGGCCACTGTGGTCGGCTCCTAACAATGTCTACTAGTGTATCCAACCAAACGTGTTCATAGTCCTTCGGACCCCAGCCTGGCAGTCGGGAACCACCAACCGATGCCAACTTCGAAGTGAGGGTTTTCATTCCTCTTGAACAAATCATCGTTCGGCCTCATCCCCTCTTATTACTATTATTATTCAACACTTGTTTAATGTTTATTTGGCAGTGCCACAACACATAGTTAACAACAACAAGAAGGGGAAAACAGGTAGTCACTAGATGGGTTAATAAGCTTAAGGAGATCCATTCGTATTGTGGGCGCAGATCTTCCCTGTTGCCCAGGCATAGGAAATGGGTTTCCTTAAGGGACCCCATACCGAGCCTTCGGTCATAATGACCTGACCCACAAGACAGCGAGGCGATTAACGAAGACCGTTGACAGCAGGGTAGCTAATACGGCTTCTTTGTGTTCTACACAAAGAGAAGCCGGTGGCTAACAAGCTTGTTCATCCACCCTCCGTTAGGCACGCAGTCCTGGTTACAGAAGTGAGTGGTCAGTGACCCTATGGCACAGTGCCGTACGAGCTGTTGTGGTATTTGATGGAGAACTTCGTGACCAGCCCAGAACTCTCCGCTCTCTGAGACGCTGCTGCTGATTGTTCGCGACTGCTTATTCATCTCGCCTGCAAGGTAAACGAGACTTATTCGCAGTTACCTCCATAGGATGACATCTACCAATCCGCAACTTGGGGATGCGCGTAGTAGCGTACACCTCCACTTATTCCATCCAACTTTCCCGGCACGCAAACAACGCACGTCGCGATAGTAAGTGTGCTGGCATGCGCAACACGTGGCCCAGCCACCGGAGCCTGGTGTGTGACATATCGGTGCTGAGCGGTGCACACGCTCTTGCTGCATCGAATACGCGACGCCGAACACCCCCATTGCTTATACAGTTTTCCTACTAGACATGAGCCAAGCTGCGAAGGCACCGATGGTCAAGCATAACATTCCTCTTTATGTCTGTTGACTAGATGGACCAGGCTTCGAAACCGTGCAGGAGA